GAGTCTAGTCTAATTAGAGTCTGTCCTTTTCAATCTCTATGGCCTCTGCCACTAGGAATTTATGCTTGAATCCTTCTCATATCTTCCCAGGAGCCTACCCTGACTTAGGTCTCCAGCTTGTCACAGAGATGTTCTCACCCTCAGTTTCTCTTTTCTCTACAGGTCTTCTGTCTTCTCGCACTCCTTCTCCCCAGGCCTGATCTCCACCCTCTTAATTCTTTGTGCCCCCTCTCCTACCTTGTTGCCTCCCTTCAACCACTACCTCTGTCTCTTCTATATCCCCTTCCAAGTGAGATTTAGACAATCTCCCTTGATTCTCCTTGTATTTATCTTCCTTGGGTCTGTGGATTGTAGTATGCTTATCCTGTACTATATGGCTAAAATCCACTTACAAGTGAGTACATACCATGTGTGTCTTTTTGGGGTCTGGGTTACCTTACTCAGGATGATCTTTTCTAGTTCCATCCATTTGCTTACAAATTTCGTGATTTCTTTGTTTTTAATAGCTGAATAATATATTCCACTGTGTAAATGTTCCACAGTTTCTTTACCCATTCTTCAGTTCAGGGACATCTAAGTTGTTTCCTGATTCCAGCTATGACAAATAAAGCTACTGTGAACAGAGTTGAGTAAGTGTCCTTGTTGTACGGTGGAACAGCTTTTGGGTATATACCCAGGAATGGTATAGCTGGATCTTGAGGTAAAGCTATTCTCAATTTTCTGAGAAAGCGCCAGATTGATTTCCAAAGTGGTTGTACAAGTTTATACTCCCACCAACAATGGAGGAGGGTTCCCCTTTCTCCACAACCTCACCAGCACATGCTGTCACTTGATATTTTGATCTTAGCCATTCTGACCGGTGTGAAATGGAATCTCAGAGTCATTCTGATTTGCATTTCCCTGATGACTAAGGAAGTTGAGCATTTCTTTAAGTGCTTCTCAGCCATTTGAAATTCCTCTGTTGAGAATTCTCTGTTTAGTTCTGTGCCCCATTTTTTAATTGGGTTATTTTGTTTATTGGTGTTTGATTTCTTGCGTTCACAAGAGACAACTTCCTGAACAGAACACCAATAGCTCTGGCTCTAAGATCTACAATTAATAAACGTGACCTCTTGAGGTTGAAAAACTCAGTAAGGCAAAGGACACTGTCAATAGAATGAAGTGACAGATTGGGAAAAGATCTTCACCAGCACTATCTATGATGCTGTAGTAAATAAATAATAAAGTGGGAGTGCTGAGCTCCATAATGTTTACTATCAGCCCTAGGATTATCACAGCAGTATTATTTAACCCTCAATCACAAATAATAAGACACAGACACCTGTTAGACTTTATAATTGCCCTATCTACCTTGGTCCAGGCAGATATTTCAGTTACATTGTCGCAATGTCCTCACCACCCATCTCCCAGCCCCCGTCCAATGGCATTCACCTTAATTCTCCTCAACCGGTCTACCTTCCATCCATCATCCCATGGTACTTGCTTACATTCTTCATCTGGGCCTTTCCTCACCATTATTGGAGTATTTCTTCCTCATCCACATGATTCCTTCTCCACATTAACCCATCATGGCGTCCTCCTTCTTCGTCTCCTTCTGTCCATCTGTGTCATGTGATTCTTCTGTCCTCAAATGCCCAGGAACCTTAGCCACGCCTACTCCATTCTGCCCTGCCCAGGTAAAGGCTGTTTAATGAACCAATCAGGTCTAATGTTTTAGGCAAGTTTACACAAACAAGGATGAATGTATCCAGCAGGCAGTAACCAGATCTTGAGGGTCAGTAATTAGCACTAGACCAACCTCCAACAATCTGACAAAGAGCTAATATCCAAAATATATAATGAACTCAAGGAATCAAACACCAAGAAGTATTCTCTAATCTTCATGGCTCCCCGACACTCCTCTTAGCCCCACCCCATCTTCTCTCACATCAGACACAGCCCACCTGTCTACTGTCTGCTTTCCCTGCATGCAGTGATCTTCCCAGTACCATGTACACCAAGGCTCTCCACATGCTCTCATTCTCTGGGCAATGCTATATGTTTTTGCTTATAGAGGAGTGAAGTTAGTTTAATCAAAGCCCATACACAGGAAAACAGCAAAGCATGCTGAAATTGCCCTGAGCAGTGGCAAAGGCAGTGCAGTGGAAACTTTGACTTCTCCTGGGGCTAAAGGAACAAGGGGAGCAAGAAGCTCCAATAACCCAGGGAGAGCAGCCTTTCACAGAAGGTGTGGTCCAGTTAAGGAACCCATCCCCTAGCAAGCATTTCAGCAGGTGCTGGATCAGGACAAGATCATTTCCTGCTGTTCTTCCCACTGACTTGACCCAAGGAGCAGAGATTCCATTTGAGACTTGAATGGAAATCATCCTGCCAAGACCCAAGCAGGAGAAAGGGGGGATGGGTTCAGAAAGGGCAGCTCAGGTTATACATTTCCCTTCCTCCATTAGATGGCTTAAATTTTTCCTTAGAATTTACTGCCCAGCTGGGCGTGGTGACGCACGTCTTGACAGACTGTTCTACAGAGCAAGTCCAGAACAGCCAAGGCCACACAGAGAAACCCTGTCTCAAAGAAAGAAAGAAAAGAGAGAGAGAGAGAGAAAAGAAAGAAAGAAAGAAAGAAAGAAAGAAAGAAAGAAAGAAAGAAAGAAAGAAAGAGAGAGAAAGAAATTTATTGCCTACTAGCCAGTAATGTCTTTCAGCTTTTCCTAAGCCTGGATTTGGGCAGGAAGTGGAAGCTGGTCTTCCTTTATGTCTCTGAGCACACAGAACCTGGGCTCCTGGATTGACTCCCAGTCTTTGACCTTTGAGAGTACCTTATATGGACCCCACAATAAAAACTCTGCTTTGTTACTCCCCCCCCCCACTTGGCAAGTACAAAAATCTAACTAATCCAGGGCCATATTTAATTTTGAAAACACAAAACACATTCCTATTTTATTTCCTGGCCTCGATTAGCATATATTTGCATAGTTGTTCTCCAACATCATTGAGGCATAACTCGATCTGAGAAAACCAATTAGTAAAGAACAAACTTAAGCACATCTAATCCACTTCATGTTGCTTACAGAAAAAAAAAAATCATCCTATACTGTGGGTGGGTTGCCGCTCATCCATGGCAGGTGCGACTATATACTGATGGCAACGTAGCACCGGAATACAGCTCCCAAAACTCAACCCGATCAACCATTTTATGACAAAAAAGAAGCTCAATTAGGTAGCTTTAGATCGTATCTAATTAAAACAGGCACTGTATCCTTCCATTCTTTATTTCTTAGTAAAAGCAAATGGGCTGGAAGCACTGACCTACTGAAAGTGAATCTTACAGTGATGGGTGAAGCACAGTTTGCTTCATCCACCTTTAACCTTTACAACATATGTAGTGGTGCTAAACGCGTTCTTCTAAGAAAAAGAATGGATGGGGGGGGGGAATTCTCCAGCCCTCCCTGTTCCTGCTCTGTGATGAATAGAGCCTGGACTTTCAGGAACCTCTTGCTGATCCACACTCCTTGGGTCCTCCTATTCCTTCCCCAGTGAAGACAGAAGCAGAGGGACAGCCCTCTCTGTCCACAGGACAAAATTTCAGGTGACCCTATGACCAACCAGATAGTGAAAGGAGCCGCTACCTCCCATGGAGACTTACTTACAAAAGAGCAATGTTTCAGAAAGTCATCCTTTTGTCCGTTTGGTAATCTTCCACAGCAGTGCTTTTTCCTCTCCCATCCTTTACCTCAGAACAGCCTACGGATATCCCCGACCTGATCTACATTGTCCTCACTGATTCCCCCATCCCTGAAGAGCCTAACACACAGTGAGAGTCCGCCTATCTTGTTTCCCAAGTGAACAGGTATCCCTTACGCTTCTGCTAAAGTGATAGTGTTACTCAAAGAATATATTACCCCCCTGGCACTATGATAGTATCAATGATGGTAACAATAATAAAATTCCTATTGTGTGCCATGTTTTTTATTGATGTAACACTCAAAATAATCCTATTACACTTTTATGAGGTAAGTAACACTCTTAGTCCCATGTTACAGATGTGAAAATTAAGGCAAAGAGCAGATATACCACTTTCTAGAGATTTGTTGTGAGATGAGGGTGAAAAACGGGATATGAACAATACAGTCTTCAGAGCCCAAACTCTATTTGCCTAGCATCCCATTGAAAGAGCCATGGAGTCTTTTTTGAATGCTAGCTGTGATGCTTGCATTTCAAACAGACTTAGTGAATAGCTACATTCTTCTTTAAAAGTTTTGGAAAATATATGAATTTAGAACTTCCTGAGTTTGTCACAGTCAACCTGATGAGTAGCCAAGATCAATGGTGTTACCGTCTTTTCCTGGGCTGATCACTCATTGCAAATGGTTTGTTACTTTCTTATACCTCCCATCTTTTTCTGACTCTTCTGTTCATATCAGAACCTACTGGGTTCCAAATGGAAGGACAAGTAGAGATATAACATTCATAACAGAGGCATGTGTAAATGCAGAGAAGGGCAAAAGGTTGCAGAGGAGGCTCTTGCTCTTATCAAAGCTGCCGCCTCCCAAGGAACATTCTGAAGAGAGCTGTTTTTCTTTGGAACATTAGATGTCTGTTTACAGAAAGCTCTCCCAGAAAGTACAAAGGCATTGTGAGGGTACAATTTCCTCTGTTGCTTTGCCCAGGGTTAAGTAAATAGTGAGAATGGAGGAAAGTGAAAAACCCAGGATGTCAGAGATGGTGAGAAGTGGGCCAGAAGCATTCAGTTCAATTTTCTACTTATCATTAAAGTACACTTACTAAAATGGCAATGGCCTCCATTTTATTTTGGTCCAGCCACATTTTCCCCTTTCCTTTCTTTTGAAAACATTATTTGCGTTGACAGGCACAATTCTTCATTCTGTTACTCTTTCTTAATGTTGAAGAAAACAGTGAAACAAGTCTGTGTCACTGTTGAAGAGTCAATATTGTGCAAAGAAGACAAGTCTTGTTGATAAATAACTCACGAGAAGGAGCACCTGGACTTTATTTAAGCTTTATTGAAGGTTAAAGTACAGAAATAATCACATTAAATCCACATGCAAGCATCTATGCTAGACGAAGGCAAACACGCCAACACAGCAACATAGTGATAAACATTCCTATTTCCCTACACGAGGAACACCATTTCGGCTGCTTCTCAGTCCCTCTTTACCTGTTATGAAACTCATATCACACACTTTCCTGCCAGAATGTTCCTGATGGTGGAGAGAAGCCCCCAACCCTTTGAATGCTCGGAGATGTATGTGACACTCAGTTAAGCAGTACTCTGTCTGGGTAATCTGTACAAATTCAACACTCTGTCCCATGATAAAGATCTTGTTTTAATACAGAATTATTCTTTTCTGAAATCAGTTAAGTTGAAACTTCAAAAACATGATCGTGTCCACCTACACAATACTAGGTTTCAGTTCACAAACACAGCTAAATGGGAAACTACTGGAATAGTTGACATCACCTCTATACAACAAAACACGAAAGCACTCAACACCAAACAAGTAGCAAGGCCACACGAAAGTTAAAGAAGCCTGCCCACTGCAGCAGGGACACTGTCTACACTTCAATACTACTTTAACTACTGCAATATCTGTGCCCAGAGGCTGAGTAGCTAGCCCAACAGTGGTTAGTGAGAACCAAATTAGCAATGCAAGGTTCTCCAGGAGTCCTACCGGCGTGATCCGGCGTGATTCTACTAGCAAACACTAAATAAGCCTTACAACATACTTCTTTCTAATGCTTCTCAAGTTTGAACCATTTCCAAGTCTCTCATTTAGCCTGAAGGGAGCCACTGGAGAAAAAAAAAATGCAGGATTTTTATCTATCAACTAAAATGCTCTAAAAAACTGTCAATGTGCTCCATGAAAAGGACAAGAAAATCAACTGAGTTCTTCCCTTCACAACTGCTTTTGCCCATTTGCCTAAACTTCTTTCTCATCTACATGGCAGCCAGAGTGTAGAATATCTTTCCCTAGAGTCTGTGAAGGTACTAAATAGGAAACCGTACAAAATAGAACACTGGACTGTTTGAAGAAACTCAAAGACATTTACTCTAAAAGTAGCAGGTCTCTCTACACAACTCTCCATGCTCTGTCTTCATGGTTAAAAAAAAAAATCACACACTTCAAAAGCACGCTTCAGAAAGGTAAGCACTAAATATGAGTCCGCACCTGTACTCTCGCCCCGTCACTTCATACTGCAGTCACCTGCTTGTATGTCTGGATCCTCTGTTATACATGTGACCCTGGAGGACAGGAGTCCTGTCTGACTCAGCTGTGGTCTCCAGGGTCTGGCTCAGTGAGTGTGTTGAAATGTCTATTCCTGGACTACCAAGTGGCCTGCTTTCTCTTTCTTATGCCTATCTAGACTCAAAGATCTTGTTCCCACTGTACTCCTGTGTATTTATCACCTAAATGAGTGGATGACCTTGGTTTGGGGGAGGAGGCATTTCTAAAACTAGTAATGTCTGCTCAGTAGTCATAGGCGGGAGATACCAAGCTCAAGAGCCCGCTCACAGAACCTGCTACAGTGAAAACGTATTACTAATGTAAACTTATTACTGATGATGTAGAAAATGAGATTGTGGGTCCCTTTTCAGATGAAATCACATGTGATAGTTTTACAAAATACCTCATTGAAAGATACTTAATAAAAGCTGTCACCGTGTGAGCTATTACTGCTATGCTAGTGTCTACCTTCTAAATACAGTCGCGTCTTTGAAAATTCTTTAACTACCCTCGCTTGTTCTCCCTCAGCATGCTACTCTAGGATTAATGACATGGTATTTGTAAAGTGTTTGGAAATCCCTAAAGTGTTGTAATCGACTCAAGTACTATATTGTGTATGCAAACTATGTCTACCCAGCGAGCCCACTAAAATATCTGGGATTGAGAACTGTTGTCTCCTAAGACTTAATAGATGATTCCCTCTGGCTCCAAGAGCAAGTACTTCTTCAGTGCCAACGGAAGGGACAGCTTGGGGATTGCTTTGTGGCATCTGTTGTGTAACGCCTTGCGAATGGCACATCTCGATAGGTGCATGAGGCTCCTGGGGGTGTTGCAGCACACCTTGAAGAGAGAGTGGTAAAAATCCCAGTGTTTCTGGAGAGCAAGACAAGACAGGTTAATTTCAGGGAGGCGCCACGGCGTACACCGATAAAAAATCCACAATGATGCATCCGCCCCTGCTTTACACACAAGAATAGCTTTCCGGAGTTTCTGATAGTGCACAAAACTGAGCACAAAACTAAAATGGGGTGGTCAGGAAGTGGGGAATAAGACTGGGAAGAGATGGGGAAAACACATTTACAGTCAAGGATATGATATAAACTACCATGCCTGAACTACCTGGCCCAGTTCAAGCCAAAAATGGCAATTTTAATTTAACTCAATATGATAGCACGCTCTTTTGGCACCTGGTAAGATCTACTGGCAGTGGCTAGCAAGCAGGTAACTTTAAAAGGTAGAAGACCTAATACTTAGCAGAATCAGATTATACAACTGCGCCATTTGCCTCTAAGCCCAGGGAACTTTGAACCATATCAGACGCAAGCTTGACAAGAACAGGATGCTCTGTGGGAAGGGCTGGTTTACAGATGTAGCAAAGTCTAGAAGTCCACAAGTGAGGGCATGACTCTACTGAGGACTTTGCATGCAACTCACTGCAGACTCTGAAATAGTGTTTCCTGCTTTGCCATAAGCGCTGAGAGATAGTTAAAAGTGAGTGAAATAGCTACGTAAAACACTAAACTTTTCTGGAAAACTTGCTGAGTGAGCAATCCCAGATCGCATTACTTAACCCACTTAAATTGAAGGAAAATAAAACTCTCCCACCTTCATATATTCACTCAAACTTCTGTCAGAGAAATTCCCCGAGAGACTCCCTAATATCACACATTTGACAAACATACATAGGGCTTCACACTCCCATTCTTGTACTTTATAATCCTTTGTTTCATTATATTTGAAAGGGCTTTGAAAGCATCCTCAAAACCAGCATTTTAAATTAGAAGGCTGTGTGCTTATCTGGAGGTCTCGAAGGACTCGCTCATGAAAAGCACAGCAAATGAATCATTTACCTCCAAGTCATCATCAGGAATGGCTCTTCTCCACTTGATGTTCCATCTGATGTGCTCATAGGCATTGACCACCACTTCAATCGCTTTGGGACAAGAGTGGCAAGCCTGGATCACCTGCAGAGGAGACAGAGACCTTTGTCACTTGGTGTGTGCACACAATTCCCAGCTCTCACAGACATGAATATTCCCCAATCTTGGTTAGGCACGGCTTCGTGCACCTGGAGTTGCCCTTATTAAGTGCGCTTTGGGATTACTGGGACCCTGGACTCTGAGACTTGCTCAGGCAACACAGCAAGGCCATATCTGTAGGAAGCATTCCTATGCCAACTATGCTGTCTGGAGCACTGTGCTTTTAAGAAATGCACATCTTTGGGCTATTGCCATACTGCCTGATCCAGCGTAGATGGCCATATTAATGAAATCAAACCAGCTTTTGTTACCAACCACAAGCAACAAAGATGGGATACTAACAAGAACAAGAAGACGGGATGGGGAAGAACCCGCTTGTCCTGCCCGTAACTGAAGTAATGCTGAGAGAGGCTGGGTCTCAAAACTTACTTCCTGCTGCTTCAGGCTCTGCAAGGCTTCGGAAACTATTATTACGAAGTGGCTGAACGATAGTAAACCAATAGGCCTACTGGTGGCCACGTGGCAATGCAAATTTCAGAGTTGGCCGGGAGTCAGCCAAAAACATCTCCCAAGAACAGCACCTGTAGCGGACTAGTGTTGTGGGATATTTGAAGACTTAGTCCATCATCAACGTACAGTTTTAAAGGCTTAGTCCGTCATCATCACGGCAGGGTGTGTGCAGACATGGGGCTGGAGAAGGAGTCAAGACTTTTGCATCTTGGTACAAAGGCAGCTGAAACTGACTCTCTAGGCCTAGCTTGATCATGAGACCCTTAAGCCCACAGTGACACACTTCCTCCAACAAGGCCACACCTGCTAACAGTGCCACTCCCTACAGGCCAAGCGTTCGAGCAGATCAGTCTGTGGGTGCCATTCCTAGTCAAACCACCACACACTCTAACTACTACTTCTGCTGACCGAACACTTGATTCTCAAACCATAAAGGCTTCTTTTTAACCTGTCGACCTCCTGGCTGTCATTATAGGCACTCAGGTTTCTTCTCGAGCCTCAGTAACTATTTCACCCAGGCAGTGAATGAATAAATAGATACATAGATAGATGGATAGATAGATAGAGCATACATACATACACAGTGACAGATAGATAGATACACACACACATACATACATACATACATCATACAACATACATAAATAAATGATAGAGACATAGATCAATACTAGGCAGATAGGTACACACACATACATACATACACCGAGAGAGAGAGAGAGAGAGAGAGAGAGAGAGAGAGAGAAGAGGTAGCAAACTCTATAGCATAATTTTACACTGATTGCCAGGAACCTAAACTAACACATGACAGGGGCGGTCACTGTGGGCCCCAAAGGAGAAGCCACTGCTTAGCCTCTGATGGTCTGGGAAGCAGAGGACACCAGGGGCCTTCACACTCTGTCACTCTCTGGTGACTCTTTTCTGCCATCTCAGAACAACTAGACAGAGATGAAGTCTTTCTCTAAAACAGTTCTCGTTGGGGAGCACGTCAGATACAAGCCCTCATCATCTGACCCCGAAAGCACAAGTAAACATGACACAGATTCAAGGGCCTGGGCAGGACTCGATGGATGGAGTACTTGCTGGGCAAGCCCAGAACCTGAGTTCCATCTGCAAGACCCTCTGCAGAGATAAGGGAATCCCAGCCCCAGAGCCTGCTGTCCAGTCAGCTTGACTAACTGGTAAACTCCAGGCTCAGAGAGAGCCTGAAACACAGTGGGAAGTGGTTGATGAAGTCAATTTTAAGGTGGCCTTCACACCCATTTACACATGTAAATGCCTACCCTGACATGCACTTACAAACACACACACACACACACACACACACACACACACACACACACACACA